CTCTGTCACCCAGGCTGGAGCACAGTGGTGTGATCACAGCTCACTGCAGCCTTGACCTCCTGAGCTTAAGCAATCCTTTTACCTTAGCCTCCCAAGTGGCTGAGACCATAGGCATGCACTACCATGCCCAGCTAAGAAAAAAAAAAATTATTATTATTATTATTTATTTTTAAGAGATGGGTTCTCACTACATTGCCCAGGCTGGCCTTGAACTCCTGGGCTCAAGTGATCCACCTGCCTCAGCCTCCTAAAGTGTTGGGATTACAGGTGTGAGTCACTGTGCCCAGTCCTCTGTCATTTCTAATACCAGTGATTTGTGTCTTCTCTCTTTTATTCTTGATCACTCTAGTTATAGGTTTATCACTTTTATTTAACTTCACAAAGAACCAGCTTTTGGTTTCAATAGCTTTTTCTCTATTATTTTTACTTCATTGATTTATGCTCTAATCTTTATTATTTCATTTTCTCTGCTTAATTTGAAATTAACTTGCTCCTTTTTTCACCCTATTTTTCTAAAATGAAAACTGAGATCATTAATTGAGCTGCTTTAGCACCATCCCATGAATTCTGAAATGTTCTTTAATTTTCAGTTGAATTTTTTTTTTTTTTTTTTTTTTTTTTTTGAGACAGAGTCTCGCTCTGTTGCCCTGGCCGGAGTATAGTAGTGCGATCTCAGTTCACTGCAACCTCCACCTCCTGGGTTTAAGCGATTCCCCTGCCTCAGTCTCCCAAGTAGCTGGGACTACAGGTGTGCCTCACCATGCTTGGCAAATTTTTTTTGTATGTTAGTAGAGATGGAATTTCACCAGGTTGGCCAGGATGGTATCAATCTCCTGACTTTGTGATCCACCCACCTCTGCCTCCCAAAGTGCTGGGATTACAGGTGTGAGCCATGGTATAGAAAATATTTTATAATGTTCCTTTCAGTTTCTAAGTACTCATGGAGTATTTAAAAATGTGTTACTTAGTTTCCAAATATTTGGAGATCTTCCAGGTAACTTTCTATTATTCTTTTTTATTTTAATTCCCTTACAATCAGAGAACATACTTTTGTTGTTGTTGTTGTTGTTTTTGAGACAGAATCTCACTCTATCACCCAGGCTGGAGTGCAGTGGCATGATGTCAGCTCACTGCAATCTCTGTCTCCCAGGTTCAAACAGTTCTCCTGTCTCAACCTCCCGAGTAGCTGGGATTACAGGTGCCACCACACCTAGCTAATTTTTGTATTTTTAGTAGAGACAGGGTTTCACCATGTTGGCCAGGCTGGTCTTGAACACCTTAGCTCACATGATCTGCCTGCCTCAGCCTCCCAAAGTGCTGGAATTACAGGTGTGAGCCACTGCACCCAGCCAGAGAACATGTTTTGTATTGTTTAAATTCTCTTAAATTTCTCAAGGTCTGGAAAAAAGAAAAAAAATGCTAAAGCCTTATTTAGTGGTACAGAATGTGGTGACAAATGTTCTGCATGCACTTGGAAAGAATGTGTATTCTACACATGTTGGACAGCATTTTATATATGTCAGTTAGGTCAAGTTAGTTCATACTGTTGTTCAAATCCACTATATATTTCCTGATTTTTTTCCCTCTATTTGTTCTTTTATTACACAGAGAGGAGTACTAAAAGTCTGACTATAGATAATTTTGGATTTATATATTTCTTCCAATAGTTCTATTGGTTTTTGCTTCATGTCAGGATTTGTCTGATACCTTTATCATTAAAAAATTAACTTCTTTATCCCTGTTAATATTATTTGGTCTGAAATGTACTTCGATATTAATATAGCCATTTCAGGTTTATTATGGCTAATGTCAGCATGGTATCATCTTCATACATTTAATTTTAACCTATTTAAAGCATAATTTTTCCAATCATAGCAAGCCCAATAGTAACAAAACAAAACAAAAACAGAAAAAAGTATAAGTTTTTGAAAGTAGTATATAATTGGGTTTTCTTTTTATCCAATCTGCCAATTTCTGCTTTTAAACATTTAAACCATTTATATTTAATTTGATTACTGACATAACTGGCTTTAAATCAAACATCTTGCTATTTTTTCCCATTATTCTAGTGGTTGCATTAGTGTTTATAGTAAAAATATCTTTTAACTTACCACAGTTTGTCTTATCAAGTATGACCTTACTACTTCACGCATAAGAACCTTGTAACAGTCTACTTAAGATTCCTCCCTTCCTGCCTTTGTGCTACTCTTATCATACATTTTACTTCTATGTTATCATGCTCACAATATATGGTTATTATTATTGTCTACACAGTTACCTTTTATACAGATTTAAAGAAAAACCTCTTATATATGTACCCTTATAATGACAATTTCCAGTGACCTTCATTTCTTTGTGTAGATCTATTATTTCATTTGGTATCATTTTCTTTCTGCCTGATGAACCTCCTTTAATATTTCTTGAGGTGTGAGTCTGTGAATGATTAATTCTTTCAGCTTTTGTAAATCTGAAACTATCTTTATCTCACCTTTGTGTTTGAAAGACATTTTTGCTGGTTGCAGTAATCCAGGTGGACAGGTTTTTTTTTTTCTTTTAGTACTTTAAAGGTGTTGTTCAATTTTGTTCTTGCTTATACTGTTTCTGACAAGAAATATAATGTCATTCTTATATTAGTTATCCTGTATATACAGTGTCCTTTTTTCTCTGGCTATTGTTTTCTCTATCAATGGTTTTCTGCAATTTGATTATGATATGCCTCAGAGTAGTTTTCTTCTTGTTTCTTATTTTTGGGATTTCTTGAATTTCTTGATTCTGTGAATCTATAGTATTTTTTTTAATTTTGGAAATATTTTAGCCATTATTTCTTCAAATATTTTTCTACCTCCCCATCACTTCTCTCCTCTGGGGACTCCAATTACATGTCTATTTGGTCACTTGAAGTTATCCCATAGTTCACTGGTGTTCTCATTTTTTTCTAAATTCCCTTTTCTCTTTGTGTTTCATTTTGAATAGTTTCTATTGTTATGTCTTCAAGTTACTAATTTCTTCCACCATCAATCCAATCTATTGTATTTTTCATTTCCCACAAAGTAGCCCAATGAATCTTTTTAATATCTTTCATGTCTCTGTTTAATTTCTGAACATAATGAATATATTAAAATAACTATTCTAATGTGTTTGTCTGCTATTCTATAATCTGTGTAGAATCTGAGTTGGTCTCAACAGATTATTCTCTAGATTATTGGTTGCATTTTCCTGCCTCTTTGCATGCCTGGTGGTCTTTGATTGAAAGTTAGATCTTGTGAATTTTACCTGTTGGGTACTGGATATTCTTGCATTCCGATAAATCTTCTTGGGCTTTGTCCCCAATGCAGTTAACTGACTTGTAAATAGTTTGATACTCTTGAGTTTTACCTTTATGATTTGTGAGGTTGGACTGAAACAATGCTTAGGCTAAAGTTAATTATTTTTCAATACTGAGCAAGACCTTCCTGAGTATTATACCCAATGCCCAATCAATTATGAGATTTTTCCAGTTTAGCTGGTGAAATCAGGAACTATTCTCAACCCTGTGTGAGTGCCAGGTTCTATTCCTTTGAATCCTTTCAGATAGTTTTTTTCCTTTGACCTTAGGTAGTTTTCTCACATGCATGTGTAAAACAGTAGTATTTTCCTGAACACTTGAAGGGGACCCTCTGAAGAGCTCTGTGGTTTTCTTTGTGTGCAGCTTTCTCCTCTCTGATACTCTGTCCTGTAAATTCTAGCCACCTTGGTTTCTCTGGACTCTGATTTTTTTCTTCCATTTCCTCCAGTTAGGGAGTCTGCTGGGCTCAACATGAGTTCCCTTTCCCTGGGCCATGGTCTGGAAACTGTTAAGGCAATAGGCTAGAAAATCATAGGCAGCTCAACTCATTTGTTTTCTCTCTCTCAGAGATCACTGATTGGCTGCTTGATTTTTAGTTACTTATAAAACACTGTTGGCTGGGCATGTTGGCTCACGTCTGAAATCCCAGCACTTTGGGAGGCCAAGATGGGTGGATCACTTGAAATCAGGAGTTGGAGACTAGCCTGGCCAACATAATAAGGCCCTGTTTCTACTAAAAATACAAAAATTAGCCAGGTATGTTGGTGTGCGCTTATAGTCCCAACTACTTGGGAGGCTGTGGAAGGAGAATTGCTTGAAGCCAGGAGGCAGAAGTTGCGGTGAGCCAAGATCATGACATTGCACTCCAGTTTGGGTGATAGAGCGAGACTTTGTCTCAAAACAAAGCAAAACAAACCATTGTTACCATATGTTGTCTTTTTAAAAACTGTTTCAGGTGGAAGTATAAATTCAGTCCCTTTTATTTCAAATGAGCAGAAGTCCTGAATTTGTATTTCTACTTAGAAAACAGACTAAATTCAAACTCAACCTGAAATGTTAACGGTTTGAGGAAATAACCATTGAGTACTAAAGGAAAGGATTGTTAAGTAACTTCCTGATGTTTAGCTTTGTTTAGCACCAGAACACTTCTTTGTTTATCAGCTATATCACACACTGATACAATCAATATCATCTGTGCACTGTCTGGGTTACTTATTCCTTGTGGGAAACTCTGGATGACCTCTGATGAGCTCCTGAAATGCTTCCCAGTGGGATTTAGTGTCAATATTCTTGTAGAAAGATAAGATTGTGACAGGAGTGCTGAGTACAGAGAAAGGAATACTGCTCTATTTTCAACACTGTCTACCGAATATAACTCTCTTTCCTACCTGAATTAAGAGTGCTAGTAAAAATTAGCAATTGTTTTCAGTAACACAGAATATCCTCAAGGAGGTAAAGAAGGAGGCAAGGGTGTTACTTGGGATGAAGGCGGGAAGAATGTCTGCTGCCAAAACTCACAGTGACCAAATTTCACTTCTTGAGTTCTTCCCATAGAAATTTATTCTGGGACCCTCAGGTAAGAAGCCCAAGGGCTTCTACCTCCTGTTTTGATTGTCTAAGAACCAGAAAAAAATGACTTATCTTTCACCTACTAAAGATGTTGAGAATCAATTACCTGCTTGAAGCAATGGACAGGCGCTGGGACTGAACATGTTTCTTTTAGGTATTTGTCCCAGGTAAAATGACCTGTAAAGGAAATAGAAATCTATATCACAGTCAACTTCCTAAAAAAATGTTTTCAGGATATAATCTACACTAAACATTAAGCCATTTGTAGACTGGTTTTGAGCTTAAAAAACTTATTTTTTTTTTCCGTTTGAGTTCAAAGGAGTATTAAGGGTAAGAATCTAAGTGACCTGAGTGGATGTTTTAAATTCATGTTTTAAAATAATGGTCTAAAGATGGCTTGGGGTGTTCTTTATGTTGGTTCCTAAAGTGATCCAAAATGCCAAAGCAAGACATACCAGTACTACAAAGAAGTGCCCAGGAAGCTCATGGAGAATGGAACAGAAGAGGTAGAAAGTGGGTAGGGAGATTTCTTTTGAACAACCTGACTCTTGGAAAGGTCCCTCACTGCTGCCAAGTGGCAGGTTTTAACACCCAATATGATTGGATTCTAGCATCTCAGTTCAGGAAGAATGAAGAAAAGGCTGTCTGGAGACAAGGGGTGAGATGATTTGAGGGGAGGGAAAGCCAGATGAGTGAGATTATAGTTGAATCCTCACTCTAAAAACTGGCTCTCTCTCACCTACCCCTGCTGCTACGCCCCAGAGCAGTGCAGCGCCCCCATGCCAGTCACAGCTGCACTGCTCTGCGGTACAAAGTGACAAAGATCTGTTAATTTAGAGCAAAGTAGGACCTGGGAAGCATGTCTGATGATAGTAAATAAGTACAAGCTGGGGAGTCTGTAGAATCTTTTAGCCTCTTGAACTGGTCTTAGAGCTTTTCAAAGTTTGAAGAACACTGTCCTAGATAAACAATCTTCAAGGAGAAACTATGCTGGGGCAAGGGAGAACATCTTAAGGCAGGCCATTAGATACAGATCTCACTGGATCACAAAAGATTATAAAATTATTTATTTAAAGGTTAAACCAATTACCAGTCTCCCCCTAATACCCACCTAGAGGTGACCCCATGATGGAGCAGGGAAGGTCCCAGAGAATCTCACAAGCTAAAACACTGTTGCAAACCAGCATTTCTTGAAGTTTCCTCTGTAGTGGAGCAGCACAGAGCCCCTTTGGGCCATACAAAAAGCACTAGATGCTGGGAATAAAAACGAGTCACTGAATGATGAAATCTAAATCACTCCAAAGATGATGCCAAGACTTTACACTCTATTGATTTTATAGCTTCTGTTTTATAACTGGTTCCTTTCCCACTATCCTTAACTAAGCCAAATAGATTCGGCCAGAAATCACAGTCAGTTCTGAACTATTTCATGAACTGGCTGATGATTAATCATCATGACTACACAGTCCATAGGGCGAATGAGATGACTGCAAAGTCAAGGTTTAAAGATGTTATCAGAATTTAATGAAGAATTTGCTCCTAGCTGACAGGGCCCTAGAGCAAGGATTGAATACATTTCATCACCATTTGCCATTAGAAAAAGAAAATATTACAAATTACTTTCTAACCTTACAAATGAAATATTAAATCAAATAGTAAGCTTTAGATTTCACTGGATTAACAATCTTCAACTCTGGCATCTAGAGCAGCACTGTCCAATAAAACTTTCTGTGCTGACTAAAACATTCTATATCTGTGCTAGCCAAAAAGGTAGCCACTAGTCACATAGCTATTGGACACTTGAAATGTGGGTAGTATAAGAAACTAAATTTGATTTAATTTTAGTTAATTTAAATTTAAATCCCTACATGTAGCTAACAGTTACTGTATTAGACAGCACAGATCAAGAATTTTGGTCAGTCCTGGGTAACTGCGTGTATTAGCTTAAGTTCTGACTAAAAGCACCCAAGAGACTTTGGTCTTAAGAATAATGGTAACATCAGGGGTCCCACAATAATTAGGGTATTAATTACAGTTCTCTATGACACATATCAACCATGGTAATCAATCCCTATGCTGTAATGTACACAGGCTAGAAACCTCAGTCCTTTCACCACTTAGGAAACACTCTATTACTAATGGAATGAAAAGGAACCTTTGTTTAAAGTAGTTCACCCAACTGTGATGGCTGACTGGCTTGAACCATATCTAGCTTGGTATTTTCCTTTCATTTGATTACTTGGGCTAAGGGTTAGTTCCTTATATTCAGGGAAATTGTAAAATAAGATAAAATTTATGACTTAGTAAGAATGTTTGGACACCTACTATAATCCCCATTATGAAGCCAGACATATGTCTGTCATATCTCCAAGCACTAAAATAACCACAAAAGAAATAGGACAGACATCAAGGTATAGATCCAGAGATAGCAAGCTTTCTGTTAAGGACAATATAATAAAAATTTTATGCTTTGTAGGCCATATAGTTTGTGTCATGGCTACTCGGCTCCACTACTCTAGAGTGAAAGCAGCCACAGACAATATGCGCATAAATGAGTGTGGCTATTCCACTTAAATTTTATTTACACAAGCAGGCAGAGGGCAGGATTTGGCCTTCCACCAGTAGCTTGCCAAACCTCTAGTATAAATCATTGACTCTCAAGTGATACTTATAGTCTCATTTCTTAAACAAAGTTCTGGGCCCCACCTTGAGAAGTTCTCATTCAGTAGGCTCCAAAGTGTGGCCTGAAAATATGTATTTTTAAAGGCTCCCTAGGTAATTTGGATTAATATCTGTGACTAAGAACTACTACTACACGTTTAAAGAATGTAATATTGGGAATCTGAGGATGTTGGTAAAACTCTTGTTTCTACAGCTAACTATCTTGAGTAAATTACTTAATCCTTCCAAGCCTCAGTTTACTCATCTGAAAGATGAAGATAATATCTGTCTTACAAGATTGTACAGAGATTCTTCAATAAATATTTAAGCTTCTCTGAGTACAAAGAACTGTGTTAAATGTTAGGGGAACAAGATAAAACATGATTTCTCAATTCATGGAGCTTTCAGTCTAGAGATAAAAAGAGACATTAATAAACATAACAAATAATCTGTTATGATAATGATAAAGTTAATGAGGTAGTACAGGTTGTCTTGAGAATGCAGAACATGAAAATCTCGTTCATGTTTAAGCTCAGAGATTGTTGCAAAGATTAACATTATTAACTAACATAGGTATCGTTTTATAATTTAAACATATATAGTGTTTTTAATTATTCCAACATTATAATTCAAAACACTCAAAAATTACAGTTTGAATGTTTTCAATTATTCATTCAACAGATGTTTATTGACCATTCTCTATGTGCCAGGCAATATGACAGGGGTCCCTGCCCTCATGGAATTTACATGCTGGTGTATAATGAGACACAATTAATACATAAACAATAAATAAACAAGGTAGCGAAAAGAACTTGAAGGAAATAAAATGAGGTTATGTGATAGAGACTGGGAGCTATCTTAGTAAAGTTACAGATAGATACTCTATAGAGAAAATGCCTGAACTAAGACAGATGAGAAAAAGTCAGCCATCTCATTTATGAAATAATGCTCATTAAAGTGTTTTATAAACTCTGATGCACACCACATGAGAGTTACATTTATTATTAAAAAAGAAAAAGAGATCCCTGCCCTGAAGGGATTTACCTTGGGGGTAAATATTATTTTTATGGGCCAAAGTACCTTGGCCCATAAAATATAAAGCACAAGAGGTCACCTGGTTAAATGCATGAGTCACCTTCTCTAATATTCATTCATTCAGTAAATATTTATTGAGTATCTACTATATGATAAACCTGGTTCTAGGTACTGGTGATATATAGCAAAAAAAAAATACAGCTGAAGTCTCTGCCCACTTGAAGCTTATGTTCTAAGGGAAAAGAGAGACAAATAAATAAATAAATAAACAAATAAATGTCAGCTGGTCCAGAGGATAACAGAGACACCACATTAATTATATGATTCCTGGCTATTTTGAAATTAAAAAAAATAAAGGTAAAAGGTAATGAAGCTGTGCCTTTTTAGGCAGGGCAGTCAAAAAAGGCATCTTGATAAGGCGATATAAAAGTTGAGATTTGGGCCGGGCGCGGAGGGCCAGGTAGGCGGATCACCTGAAGTCAAGAGTTCAAGACCAGCCTGTCCAACACGGTGAAACCCCATCTCTACTAAAAAAATATACAAAAATTAGCTGGGTGTGGTGGTGGGAGCTTGTAATCCCAGCTATTTGGGAGGCTGAGGCAGGAGAATTGCTTGAACCTGGGAGGCGGAGGTTGCAGTAAGCTGAGATGGCACCACTGCACCCCAGCCTGGGTGACAGAGTGATACCCAGCCTCGAGGAAAAAAAAAAAAAAGGTTGGGATTTGACTGGTACTTCCAGCCTCTGCTTAAATACTTCCAATGATGGGACACTCATTATTTAGCTATTACTCAACAGTACAAATGGTCAGCCAACATCTGCCTTCTAACCTCTACTGGTCCTTGATATATCTAACCTCTCTCTGTGTCCCAAATCCTTCAACTGCTCCTAATTTGACAGGCTGGCTACTCATGTCTGGCCACTGTTCTGGTCACATTCCTTTACAAGAACTCTACATTGTTCAAACTATATGCGAAGCCAAATTCCTAACAACAATAAAGATAACCAGTCTTTAGATGAGAAATTCCACTCGACTATTACCATCTAAATAGTGTTCTATGTACCAAAGTTTAAAGAACAATATATTTGTTAAAAGTCATTAATGTTAATTTAAGTGTCTTTTTTTTTATTTTTCTTTTTTTTTTTTTGAGACAGTTTCTCGCTTTGAGTCAGCATCAGAATGGATGGAGTGATTAGACTTTGAGTCAGCATCAGGCTGAAGTGCAGTGAACACAGCTAATTGCAGCCTCGACCTCCCAGGCTCAAGCGATCCTCTCATCTCAGCCTCCCTAGTAATAGGGACTACAGGTGTGTGCCACCACATCTAGCTAATTTTTGTATTTTTTGTAGAGACAGGGTTATGCCAAGTTGCCCAGGCTGTTCTCAAACTCCTGAGCTGAGCTCAAGCCACCTTAGCCTCCCAAAGTGAGTGAGACCTTACAGGCATAAGCCACAGAGTCCAGCCAGTGTTTTTAAATTTTTTGATGAGTATTTTTTTTACATTTATCTTTGAATGCTTTTGAGATGATCTCCTTAGGACAAATTCCAAAGACTTGGATTAATGGACAAAGAGCATGCAAGTTTAAAATTTGATACAATACATACATTGCTGAAATATCCTCTAGAAAGAATACACCAAATTTTTTTTTTCTTAGAAATGGGGTGCCCAGGCTGGTCTCAAACTCCTAGGCTCAAGTCATTCTCCTGCCTCGGACTCCCAACGTGCTGGGATTACAAGCATGAGCCAACCATGCCTAGTTTTTTTTTTTTTTTTTTTTGAGACAAGGTCTCACTCAGACACCCAGGATGGAGTGTAGTGGCACAATCACATCTCACTATAAGCCCAAACTCCTGGACTCCAAGCAATCCTCCCACCTCAGTCTCCAGAGTAGCCAGGACTACAGGTGTGCGCCACCATGCCTGGCTAATTCTTTTCTTTTTAGTAGAGATAAGATTTCACTATTTTGCCCAGACTCAATTTCTATTCCTATCAAAAGTACATGAGTGTGTTTACCACATATTTGCTAACATTGTGTTTTAACAATTTCTATAATTTTGACAAATCTTATCAGTGAAAAAGTAAAATACTATCATAATTTTATTTGCAATTCTTTGATTATTAATAAAGTCAAAGGTCTCTTTAGGCTTATCAGCCAGTTTATATTTTATTTAGCCATTTTTCTGCTGAGACATTCTTTGGTTTTCTCACAGATTCTAGGAGTTCTTTGTAGATTAAGGAAAAGTCACTAGAAGAATTTTTACTTAATAGAAATAAAGCATCTAGAGACAGTGTTATTTTCACTATACCACAGGTCCCTCTGAAAGGACATAGACTCTCAGGCAACAGAAAGAGAGGTTTTAGATAAGGAAAAGAAATCAGAGGTGTTATGGAAGGTCCAGACAGATATCCTGATATGAGAAAGGTCTGGATTTGGGAGGCTTCATAGATGTAGAATCATAATATTCAAGCTACAAAGGACCTTAGCGTTTCCTAAAACAAACTCATGGCTTTCTTGGTCCCATATCTTTGCCCATGTCACTCACACTCAGTGACTAAAGCTCAGCAAAAATTTTACATTTTCTGTCAGAAGGCTTTGCAGAGAAGGGCTGGACAAATTCTACCATTTCCTATCTTCTATAACATCCTGTTCACATCATTTGACTATAATTATTTATGTAAGCTCTTTATGGATGGGGGCTTATATTTATTTTTAAAATCTTTAGTAATTAACACAGTATATGAAATTTAATAGAGGCTCAATATGAGTTTCTGAGTGAATAAAAATAAGCACACAAGTAATTATCCTATTCTTTCTTGGACTAATAAAATTATACCTGGGATACAGTTCTGCAAACTATACTTTGAGAGCAAATCAGAGTTTAAATGATTACCTAGTGATGGTAAACAGACCCAAAATCATGTCACCTGAGGACCAGCTGAAGGAACATGAACAATTAGCATGAGTAAAAAAGTGAAGTCTCAGAGCCATTATCCATCCATCCAGCCCGCCAGCTAGCCAACAAATATTTATAGTTTGTGTCAAAGCACTGTGCTGCGTGCTTGGACATACAACTGTGATCAAAATATCATACTTGACCTCACAGAGCTTCAGTCTCGTGACAGACAGAGAATCTAGTGAGGGACAGAGACTAAACAGTCAACACTAAGATAATGTGGTAAATGCTACACTGGAGAGACAGAGGGTGCTACAGGAGCGCTCATAGTGCTTGCAGAAGGCTTCCAAAGGAAGTAACCTTTAGGCTTCTAAGCTAAAGTGTGAAAGGAGTCAGTCAAAGAGAAAGGAAACTCTTTTTTGTTTGTTTCACAGAGAAAGAAAAGCATTATAAAGGCCCAGACAAAGCAGTTCTAAAAGCAGATCTTTTGGTATGGTTGCTGAGTGGAGTTTAAAGAAAAAGTAGTTTAGAAAAAAGGTTGCAGATAAAGGTGGTGTTCCAGCATTAGAGAGCCACATATACTGTATTACTGAGAAGACGAAACATTCAACGGTTTGGGGTGAAGCCATTCTGGCTGTAGTGTAAAGAATAGGCTGGAGGGGGACAAGGCTGGAGGAAAAAAAACTAGTTAGAAAGCTGTTTTAATAAGCTAGGTGTGAGATGACTGTGGCTTCAACTATGAAAGTGGCAGAGTGGCAATGAGAAGGCAGTCCCTAGAGCTTCTTTCTAAAAATCAGGGCGAAAAATAGGGTAACCCTGTTTCATGTGGCCAGAAAGTTAGAGAGATGACTAACAGAAATTATAAAAAGAAGCAAATTTTGGCCCCATAAATATGTCTAAATATGAAATAAATTACCTGAGGCGGTGCTAAGTCCTCAACAACTTGAGGAGTTCAAGATAAGACATTTCACAAAAAATTCAAAATGTTGAATTTTCAATGTTGGATAAGGGTAGATTATTTTATGGTCTTTTCCAACTTTGAGATTCCTCAGATCTACTGAATTTTATTTCAGTTTGCTATTTGGAGCTGCTCCTTATGCTTGATGGTAAAAATGAAATAAGCAGGATTAACTTACATCAGAGGATATGCCTGTGGAACCAATGTTCTCACAAGGAAAAATATACTACCAAATTTTAACATTTTTTAGTAACTGATATACTCTATGTTAAATTGAGTACCCACATTTCACAACTCTCCATCAAACAAAGAGTTTACAATATGCCTTAAGCTCTCACTGAGCTACAATTGTTATTATCATTCATATTAGGGACAAAACCAAAAAGAGCAGTGGCTATCACTGTCTTCCATTTGCCTATACCATGCCAGAACTACGTCCAATATCTCCCATGTTCATTATAACCTGCAAAGTAGGTTTTATTCCCATTTTAAAGATGAGGAAATAGGCTTAGAAAGATTAAGTAATTTGCTTGAAGTCACAAAACTGGTAAGTGGGAAAAGGAGTTTGAACCAAGGCCTGTCTGACTCCTATGTCCAGGCCTTTTCTACTACACACCAGTACCTTAAAAAGCTTCAGGAAAGTTTTAAAGAATAATAGAAAATAACTATCATTTATCAAGTGCCAGGCACCTTTACCTGCATTATTTCATTTCATTCATTTCTTCAGCTCACATTCATAGAATGCTTCACTTCAAAGAATGTCAGAAGATTTGACTTAGAGTAAAGTCTGAGTATAGCCGCTGAACAGAATGAAAATCATAATAATCCTCCAAAGTTGAAAAGTATTTGAGAGTTTTTAAGATGTTTTCACATCCATTAGCTCATGTAATCTTCTTTACAACCCTGTGAAGTAGGCAGAATGGGATTATTATCCCCATTTTACAAATAAGAAAACTAAGGATCAGAGTCACAAAGTTACTAAGTGGCAGAACTGGCTCTCAAAAAGGCTAGTTCTGACTCCTAGTCTAGTGTTGTACTACTTCATGTTATCTTCTGGTGTCAGTGGGCAATGGAAAGTAATACGTTGCAGGAAAGAAAGGCAAGAGGAGGCAAACAGACAATGATAATAATAGAGCTAAATATATATCAAGTTGTAACAAAATACATCAAAATACTTGAACAAAAATTGATAAAGATACCTGGATATCAATATCTCTGTAACATGTAAAAGGATTTTAAAGAATTCTAAGATGTTAAGACTGATGTTTATGCAAGGAACGCTGATTGAGAAGTATTAGAACTAGTTTTATTACTCAAATCTTAGTCCTGATGTACACCAACCAGGGAGCAAAACCAAATGTAATTATTGGTCTGACTTCTTATTTAATAATATTTTAATATTTCTGTTTTTATTTGTGAATAACGTCAGAAAATATTTAATTTCAGTTCAATTTATCTTACAAGTAATTTTTTGGGGGGAATAATCCCACCAAACACTGATTTATGGATGGTGAAGGTTTTAGTTCTGGATTCAGTAAATTAAGATAGTACTTCCAGTTTGGTTCAGTTCCCATTCTTCCCTATACCCTGTGTAATTAACCACCTTCCATTCCTTCTTGTTAGCTTGTTCTGTGGCCTACTGACTGGCAGGACTTGATGTGACAGCTGAGATGAAGTACCTGGGATAATTAGGCAGACAAGAGCACAGGAATCACTGATTTATGAGACAGAGACACATGGAATTCTTCCCCTAGTTGGTTAAAACTGGTTATAATCTAATCCCTGGTTTACCAATTCCCCTTATTTAACAGAAATGCAAGAAAAGTATCTTACCTAGCTCCAGGATGTCAGCAGCTTCTAGTAAAGAAAAAAACGTTGGAGCATAAGTTATTAAGACAAACATATCAACACAATGGAAGGTGAAATTCGGGGCTAAAATAGGATATTGAGCATTTATCTAGTTCAGTTATCTTATCCTAAAAGACACTAAGATTCTTAGTAGTTATTGTGAAAGCACACCACCCAATTTTGCCTTATTCCCAAGCCTAAACTTATAAAAACTATAGAAAACCAGAGAGGCTAAGCAGCTATGCCTAAAACTTTGAAGCTAATGTGGGATCACCTATACTCAGAATCTAGGTTTCCTATTTCCAGCTAAAACAAAGTATACTGCTTTTGACTGATACCTCTGTAAACTGCAATATTTGCCTCTGATATAACCAGTGAGTTATTTGTAAACTGAAGCCTCTAAAAACAAAAATTTTATGGGAGAAGATGTCAAGTAAAAGTTTTCCATGCCAAACGGAGTTTTTTCCCCCTTACCTTGATATTGGGATGCAGACTCTGATTGGTGACAATATTTGTGTTTTCTAACATCATTCCAGTCTATCACTGCAGGGGAAAAGAAAAACAGTCACGTGAAAGAAAATATAAGATTCAATATGTTTCCAATTTGGCAGTATGTATTAACAGTTTTTAATAAAGTAATCCACTTCTGAGATTATATGCTAGGGAAAAATATTCCAAAATATAGGAAAAAGGTTTTATGTAAAAAGCTTTAGCATTATTTATAATAATAAAAAAGGAACATCTAAATGTTCAAAATAGAAGGCTGATTAAGATTTGATAATACAATCACTTGACGAAGTATTTTGAAGCTGTTAAATTTTTACAAAGGCTAAAGAACAAATGGGAAAATGCTTATGTTACAATGTTATTAGGTAAAATATGTGAACAAAAATTACATTCATGGAATGATCACAATTATATAAAACACTAAAAACAAATAGCACCCTAGTTATGGGCTCAACTGTATCCTCCAAAACTTCATGCTGAAGTCCCCACTCTGCAGTACCGCAGAATGTAACTGTATTTGTGATAACAGTCCTGGGCTGTCTGGAGCAGCTGCTGTCATCATGCCGGCTACAGCAGGGAGATCTGGTGGGAGCCTGGGAACAGGCAGGAGTTTCACCATCCTCGGCACACAGCTGCAGCTGCCCAAACCGAGGCTGCAGACCCAGACCTCCTGCTCTGTGGAGCAGGCAGGAGCCCTGTCCCAACAGGCACAGCTGCAGCCACCCAAATGCAGCTGCAGATCCAGACACCCCTGCACTTTTGGTGGTCTGGGAAGGACCCCTCTACCCTCGCAGGATCAGAAGTGCCTGCTCCCCTTGCCTGGCTTCTCCCTGCTGTTGGCACTTGCTCTGATCTTGGAGCAAAGTCAGGACACAGCCTGGGTGCTATGAATGGCAGCAGGAGGCAGACAGGTTCCTGAGCAGAAGGTGGTGGATCTCTGGTAAGGCCCCCGCTTCAGGCCAGGGAGGGCCTGAAGGCTGGGGACTGAACTGCCAGTCCTGCAGACTGGAGTGGGGACTTGTGGTGCCTTTTCCTGGCCTGCCCATGGTTGCTCCATGGGCTACCAATCAGGACTTCCTTCCCTCTGAGCTCCATAAAAGCCCCAGGATCGGCCAGAGCAAAGCAAAGCAGAGGACGGAGAGATGACTGGACGACCTGCATGCAGAAAGGAGTCACCCACTCTAGGGCCTCCTCTTTGCTGAGAGCTGCAGAAACGCCATGACAACCTGCCTGTGGAGAGAAGCCACATACTCTAGGGTCTCCTCTCTGCCAAGAGCTGGAGAGGACTGCTGAGAAGTGAACACTTGTTAGGACAACCTACCTGCAGAGAGGAGCTACCCTTTCTGCTAGGAGCTGAATACTCGTTGGAACACCCTGGCACTGTGGGTCTTCTCTGAGCTGTTCTATTGCTCAATACAGCACCTCTTCATCTTGCTCACCCTCTACTTATCTGTGTACCTCATTCTTCCTGGCTACAGGACAAGAACTTGGCTAAAAGAGTTACTGTAACACCAACAGGGATGAAACATGCCCCTTGCTTGCCACATTGTGGACGAAGAGAAGGAAGGAAAAGCTGTGGCCCTTTGGGAAGCCCAAACCTGGGAGCTTCCAGAGCCAAGGCTGTGATTCCCTCTTTAGGGTCCTGTGGTTCCTGGTGTCTCCAAGCTTTTGGGCGCCACTGCATTCCCTGGTGCCAGCCAGGGAAGCTGCTTGTGGTGAGCCTGGTCCAGCTGCAGCCTCACAGAGAGCTGGCACCCATGCTGGTACCTGGGGCTGCCTGCCTCACGGCAGCAGCTGGTGTGTCTGACTGTGCAGTAGATGAACCCCAAGCTTGCTCACACACACCCCTCACCACTCCATTCCTGACTCCAGTCTCCCTTGGAGGCATGGTATCCAGGATGATAGCGTGAGCAGCCTGCCAGGCCAAGTGGATGGAACGAGCCCAGTGGGCCCAAGCAAAACTCAGGCAAAGGCACGACTGGCCACAGGTTTCCAGCCATAAAAGTGACACCCCTAGGATCCTGCAATAATTGGAGAAAGGGTCTTTAAACGGTCCCTAATTCAGCATGGACGGGTGTCATTATAAGAAGAGAAAGTTTGGACACAGGTACAGAGAAAAGACCATGTAATGAACAGAGGGAGAAGCCTCAGAAGCTAAGGAGTGAGGCCTCAGAAGAAAGAAATCAACCTTGCCAACACCTTCATCTTAGACTTCTGGCCTTCAGAATTGAGAGGAAATAAATTTCTGTAGTTTAAGCCACCTAGTCCATGATATTTATTACAGCAGCCCTAGAAACTAATACAACCATGGGAAATTATCATTAGAAAAAACAGAATTAACACAGAAAATATAAACAGCTGATTATCTTTGGGTAGGTACTGGGTTCCCTGGCACCACCCCCACTTTCTATTTTATAACCTTACATATTTTCAAATTTTCTATAAAGAAGATACATTACTCATATGATGGGAATATATTTTCCTTGGTTGAAAATTTAGATTCATCTACTGACCCAACCACTTTCTCACCATCAATCACCTATCATGTCTTTACTTTTTGCCCAGCTCAGACTCCATGGTCCCTCATTAATATAATTCTCTAGTAAACACTCTTAATTCCTTCCCATCTCTTTTTTTTTTTTTTTTGTCAAGTATACCTACTAAAGGCTCAATCCTAAATCTGGTTAAAGCCACTTATCAACCTACACTGTGCCTACCCCAGCAGCTCACCAGTGCTGAAGAAAAACAAATGCAAGCTTATTTATCTCATTTTTAAACTCACAGCTATAATTCTCAAATGCCACTTTACACTGCCCAGAAATCATACCACATTTCTCCACTATCTTTATTTTTCCATTTTCTTAAAAAAAAAATCATATCTTTCTCTCTCTCATCAAGCTCCAAATATACTCTCTCCCTCAACTTCACTCTCTTAGGGGATGACTTTAATTCTGGATTCATTGAGAAAACAGAAATGAAGATAAGACCCTTCCACTCATTTCATGACGGTAGAGACCTGATCTTGTTTAGTGGTGGATCCCCAGTGCATCGTATAGTAACATGTGCTCATTCAACGTTTGATGAATAAATTACCTATTCATTCATGATTTTTTCTGACTTCTCTCCTGTTACTGTGGATGAAATGTCTCTATTTTTATCAAAAACCATCCCTCCATTTTAGCTGCAGGTCCCATAGTCTCTCATCCTCTAAAAGACTTTGCAAATATCCCCCTTTTTTTGTGCTATTATTTTTAATTGACCAACAATAATTTTATATATTTATGGGGTACAAAGTGATGTTTCAATATATGTATACATTGTGGAATGATCAAACCACAGTATAGCAATTAGTATATTCATCACTTCAAATATTTTTAATTTCTTTGTGGTGAGAACATTTAAAATTCTCTCTTTAGCTATTTTGAAAAATACATTATTATTAACTACAGTCAACATGCTCTGCAACAGAACACCAGAACTACTCCTCCTATCTAACCATAACTTTGTACTGTTGACCAATGTTTCCCTTTTTCCACACCCACCCCTCCCCTCCCAGCCTCTGGTTATCACCATTCTACTCTCTACTTCTATAAGTTAGACTTTTTTAGATTCTACATGTGAAATTATATAATATTTGTGTGCCTGACTTATGTTACTCAATATTATATCCTCTAGGTTCATTCGTGTTGTCAAAAATGACATATTTTTAAGGCAGAATAATATTCCATTGTGCATATATACCACATTTTTAAATCCATTCATATACTGATACTCACTTAAGTTATTTCCAAATCTTGGCTATTGTGAATACTACTACAATGAATATGAGCATGCAGACAGAAGCTATCCCTTCAACATACTGATTTCATTTCCTTTGGGTATACAGCCAGCAGTGGGATTGATGAAACATAGTAATTTCATTTTTAGTGTTTTGGGGAACCTCCATCCTGTTTTTCAAAATGGCTGTGCTAACTTGCAATATCCATAACAGTGTATAAGGGTTCTTTTTTCTTCAAATCCTTGCCAACATTTATCTTTCATTTTTCTGATAATAGCTAACCTAACAGTTGTTGGCTGTAGGATATCTCACTGTGGTTTTCATTTGTATCTCTCTGATGATTAGTGATGTTGGACATTTTTTCATATATCTGTTGCTCGCTTACATGTTTTCTTTTGAAAAAATGTCTATTCAAGTCCTTTGCTTATTTTTACTAGAGTTGTTTTCTTGTTACTGAGTAGTTTAAGTTCCTAGTAAATTTCAGATATTAGTCCCTTCTCCAATGTATGACTTGCGAATATTTCCTCCCAACCTGTGGGTTGTTTCATTTTTTGTGTGGTAGCTTTTCACTTTAATGCAATTCCATTTGTCTATTTTTACTTTTATTGCTGATGCTTTTGAGTTCATATCAAAGAAATCTCCATCCAGACCGTAGCAGTCTTATAATTTCAGTTTCATAGTTTCAAGTCTTTAATCCATTTTGAGTTGATCCTTGTATAAGGGATGAGATAAAGATCCACTTTCATTCTTCTGTATGTGGATAACCAGTTTTCCCAATACCATTTTTTGAACAGATTGTGCTTTCCCCAACGTGTGTTCTTGTCCAAAAGCAATTGACTGCAGATGTGTGGGTTTATTTCTAGGTTCTCTGTCCTATTTCTTTGGTAGACTGTTTTTAGGCCAGAACCATGCTTTTTTGATTACTATAGCTTTGTAATATATTTTGCAATACAGTAGTGTGATGTCTCCAGCTTTGTTCTTTTTGGTCAAGATTGTTTGGGTATTTGGAATATTTTGTGGTTCCACAGGAATTTCAGCTACTTCTATGAAGAATGACATTAGAATTTTGATGGCAATTGCATTAAATCTGTAGATTTCTTTGGGTGGTATAAATATTTTCACAATATTAATTCTTCCCATCCATAAACACTGGCTATCTTTCCACTTATTTGTGGTATCTTTAATTTCTTTCATCAGTGTCTTACAGTTTTCAGTATACAGATCTTTCACTTCCTTGGTTAAAGTTACTTCTAAGTAT